ACTACTGTACAGCTAAAAAAAAAAAAAAAAGTAACTTGAAATAAAATAAATGTTAACATGAAATAAAATATTGAAAAAACTCAAATAAAATAAAATTAACATAAACTACATATTTAAAAAAAACGAATAAAAATCACAAAACACAGCAAAATTACTAAAACTTTAACAAAAATAAAAAAAACTAATTGAAACTATTAATAAAACTATAATAGTATCTTAGTGATGCTAAAATAAGTCAATCACTGATGTGTGCATGCAGACATAAACGAGTGTTTGTCCGGGGATCACGGCTGTGACGTTAACGCTCGCTGTGGGAACATCATCGGCTCGTATTTCTGTCAGTGTCTTCAGGGATACAGCGGAGACGGACACTCCTGCTACGGTCAGTCTGAGATCCCGATCCATGCAGTCTGAATGCTGTGATGATGATTGATGATGATGATGCTCGTGTCTGTGGTTTGCTCAGATGTGGATGAATGCACTCAGGATAACAGACTCTGTGAACACGACTGCATGAATCAGCCGGGGACGTACAGCTGCGTCTGCAGCCCTGGATACGCAGTCACTGCAGATCTACACAACTGCACAGGTACACACTCACACAATACACCGCACTCACTTCAGTGTGATTCACTTCAGCGTGATTCACTTCAACGTGATTTACTTCAGTGTGATTCACTTCAGTGTGATTCATTGCTGTGTGATTCACTTCAGCGTCATTTACTTCAGTGTGATTCACTTCAGTGTGATTCATTGCTGTGTGATTCACTTCAGCGTCATTTACTTCAGTGTGATTCACTTCAGTGTGATTCACTGCTGTGTGATTCACTTCAGCGTGATTTACTTCAGTGTGATTCTCTTCAGTGTGATTCACTTCAGTGTGATTCACTGCTGTGTGATTCACTTCAGCGTGATTTACTTCAGTGTGATTCTCTTCAGTGTGATTCACTTCAGTGTGATTCACTTCAGTTTGATTCACTTCAGTGTGATTTACTTCAGTGCGATTCATTGCTGTGTGATTCACTTCAATGTGATTTTCTTCAGTGTGATTTACTTCAGTTTGATTTACTTCAGTGTGATTTGTACGTTTTTCCATATATTTTCAGGTTCATTCATTTTCTTTTTACTTGGTTCAATGCAATTTATTTCTGTTGTGTTTGAATTTTGTTCAATTTACTTTATTTCAATTCAGCTACAGTTCATGTAAATTCAGTTTAGTTCTATTCAGTTCAGTTGAGTTTAACTGAATTAAATTCAGTATAATGCTACTCAGTTCACTTCAGTCAGTTAGATTCAGTTTAAAGGGGTCATATGATGTTGCTAAAAAGAACATTATTTTGTGTATTTGGTGTAATGAAATGTGTTTATGTGGTTTAAGGTTAAAAAAACACATTATTTTCCACATACTGTACATTATTGTTTCTCCTCTATG